GCTGAGAATTGAACCTGTGTTATCTGAGAGGGAAATCAATGCTCTAAAGCCCAAGCCATCTCCCCAGCTCCAGGAACTCAGAGCATTTGGGTGAGGAGATGGAACCTGGGCTTTAATCTAGAAAGATTTTAAGGTTCTATCTTGGTCCTTTTTACTCATATGAACTTAATTAAAGAGTTGCAAAGGAGAATGGATACTGTATGTCTGTGTGTTAACAAGCATCTGACCAGGTGAAGACATTTTTCTTTGAAACCAGTTTTTATTGTCTTGGATAATAATCAGAAGTTATGGGGCTGGGCCTGTAGCTCAATAGTAGATTATTGCCTAGCATACTCAAGACCTTGGGTTCAAGTCTCAGCACTGAAAAAACAAAAACAGAAGCAGACTCCCAGATGTTGATGTATGGCTATAATCATGGCACTTGGGAGGTGGAGGCAGGAGTTCCTAATTTCTAGATCAGCCTCAGCTATATACAAGTCCAATGCCAGCTTGAGCTACAAGAGACTGCATCAACACAAGCAAGCAAGCAAGCAAGAAAACAGACTGAAGATATGCTGCGATAAATAGCTGGCAAGCAATTCAGAGCTACAGTAGTTCTGATCTGTAATTAGTCTAGGGAAGGCCAGAGCAAAGAGTAACATCTGGTGGCTGCTCATCAGTGTAACAATTTAGTGCAAAGTCAGCAGGGAAAGTCCAATGACCATCAGTTCTGTGAGGTGATGTTCGGTGGGCTCTCAGCGGCCCATCTCAGAACACTGCCTGTCTTCCTCCACATACTGAGGATGGGTAATCTCAGACACAACTAGTAGTGAAGCCTGTCTTAGGCATTGTTAATAGAGTAGGATGGGATAATGCAGAGGGCCAATGCTTTCTTCTTTGCTGATGGCCCTCAATGGTGAACTATGATGTCTGTTCTGTGCCTATAACCAGGGATGATTCTAGACAAGCTCTAGTTCACCCAAATCCTTCTCTTCCTAAATTGAGTATAAAAGAAAAATATGGTCCAAGATCAGAAAAATAAAAATTTTTTAATGGTGGCATGTTTCTTTTTCATTTTTTCTCACATGTACTTATTTATTTATGTGTATGTGCATGTCTACACATGCCACAGCATGTATGTGTAAGTCAGAGGACAGCTTGTGGGAGTTGGCTCTCTCTGTCTCCTATGTGGGTCATGGGAATTGAACTCATGACATTAGGCTTGGTTCCAAGTACCTTTACTCATTGAAACGTTTTCCCAACTGATAAAGATACATTCATTCAAGTATATCAAAGACTTTGATTGTACTCACTCCTCAACAGACTCCCCCTTTACCCACTCTCACTCTTCCGTTCCTCTCCCCTTTTACCCCCTCCCCGTGTGCATGTGTGCGTGCGTGCGTGCGTGCATGCGTGTGTGTGTGTGTGTGTGTGTGTCTGTGTGTGTGTGTGTGTGGGGGTGTGTGTCTGTGTGGGTGTGTGTGTGTGTATGTGTCTGTGTGTGTGTGTGTGTAAAATCAAGCTAGGATACACATAAGAGAGAAAATATTTGTTTTTTTTCTGGGTCTAGCTTACTTTGCTAAGTATAATGATCCCCAACCCCATCAAATTTCCTACAGACCGCGTAATTTCATTTTTACAGCTGACTTTATTGTATATGTGCTGTATTTTCTTTAAATATTCATCTGTTGATGGACGCATAGGGTGACATGTAACTTGGTATGGAATAGGGAGAAAATAAACACGGATCTGAAGGTGACTCTATGTTATGCTGGCTTGGATCCCTTTTGGGACATTCCTAGGCATGGTGCAGCCTGATCACATTGTAGTTGTAGTTTTAATCGTATGAGGAACCTCTATGCTGATTTCCATGGTAGATGGACTAATTTGTACTCCCATTAGCCGTGTATAAGGGTTCCCTCTCCACTTTCATTCTTTGTCAGCATTTATTGTTGTTGTTTCCTTAATGAAGGACATTCAGACTAGAGTGTGATGGAACATCATCTTTTGATTAGCATTTCCCTGATGCTAAAGATGTAGGATATTTTTATATGTTTATCAGTCATTTGTACTTCATCTTTCAAGAACTGTTTGTTCATTGCATTTGCACATTCATTGATTAGATTGTTTCCCTATTTGATTTTTAAAATTCTTTGTGTACTCTGGATATTCGTATTCTATCAGATGTACAGCCAACACACACTTCCCTCCTGGCTCATTTAATCATTGTTTTTGCTATACACTTCGTTGTGTTGAGGCCAATCTATGCTTTTGCAGTCGTTTGTTTTATGAAATAGGGTGCCCAATATTTGATGCATATGTATTTAGAATTGTTATAGCCTCTTAATGAACTATTTCATTAATCAATATAAAGCAACCTTCTTTATCTCTTCTGATTAATTTTGGTTTAAAGTCTACTTTGCCAGATATTATTATCTGAGTTCCATTGAAAAAGAAAAAAATGTAAAGGAATTGCTCCCAAGAGGCTGAGAAATCCTACTTTAAAATTTGAACATAATTATACACACACAGAAAATTATAACAAATATATAAAGAATTCATACATTTCACCTAGCTACTCAAACACGAAGATGCTACATAGCCCTGTCCTCCCCCACTGTCCTTTGAAAATAAATTTGAAGACATAATGGTGTAAAATCTCATTATTCCCAAATACCTTAATGTGTATTTTCTTAAGATGGTGAATATTCTCTTGTTAAAATTAGGATATTTTCATTGATCTGGTACTGTCATTTAATGAACAAACCCTATTACAATTTCACCAACTATTTTACTAATAGCTGTTACAGCAAAACAGAGAATATGACTCAGGATCCATTTCAAAAACTTGTATTACATATTCTTTTTAGTCCTTCACCTTGTTAAACAAACAAACAAAACCCCCACAAAACCCAGCCAGACATGTCTTTCATCCTAGCATTTAGGAGGCAGAGGCTGGTAGATCTCTGTGAGTTCAAGGCCAGCCTGGTCAGCATAGCAAGCTCCATGGCAGCCAGAATGACATAGACCCTGTCTGAAAAACAAAACAAACAAAAACACCGAGTAAGAAGCTAAATAATAATGTCAAATTAGAACCCACAAGGGGGGGGAAAGCCAAGCATTCATAAATGCAAACTAATAAACAAAATCTCTTCCTGAAAAGAACACCAGCATCTTAGTCACTATTCTATTGCTGTGTAGAGACACCATAATGAAGGCAACTCTTACGAAGGGAAGCGTTTAATGGGGAACTTGCTTACAGTTTCAGAGGTTTAGTCCATTATTGTCCTGGTAGAGATCATTGCATATAGTGCTGGAGCAATAACTGAGAGTTATATCCTGATCTGCAGATAGAGAGAAAGAAATTGAAACAGAGAGACAGACAGACAGACAGACAGACAGACAGACAGACATACACACACACACACACACACACACACACAGAGATTGAAACTGGCATGGGCTTTTGAAACCTCAAACCCCACCCTCAGTGACATAATTCCTCCAACAAGGCCACACCTCCTAACCCTTCTAATCTTTCTCAAATAGTTCCACTCCTTGGTGACTAAATATTCAAATACATTAACTTTTAGAGGCCATTTTTACTCAAACCACCACAATCAGCTAATACATGTGGAAGAAATATTGATGGAAAACCAACTCACCATTTGATAATCATCTTGGTAATAATTAGACAAAATTCATCAATGAATACTTTAATCTTATAGGTGAAAGATGAATAAGTAATAAGATATATATGTAGTGTTAAACTATGTCCCAAAATGAATATTAATTCTAAAAAGGAAAAACATAATTTTACATTGAAGAATCATAGCAGACACCATCTTTATGTTTGTTTCAGACAGGGTTTCTCTGTGGCCCGGCTTCCCTGGAACTTGCTTTGTAGACCAGGCTAGCCTCGAACTCAGAGATCTGCTTGCCTCTGCCTCCCAAGGGCTGGGATTAAAGGCATGCACCACCAATGCCCAGCAAGCATCATCTTATGGGGTCAGAATTGACTTCAGTAGTTAGACATCAATAGTCAACCTGTATCTTCTGACATGATGCACTGTGATGAACACAACATCGCTTGTGAGGCATGCCTCCCTCAAACCCATTACCTGAATTTAATCCCAAAGAAACATCAGACAAGCCCAGATTGAGGGAGAACCTATGAAATAAGAGTTATATACATTTTAAACCCTGCCTTTAAGCAAGAAAACACAGAGCTTCTCTATTTTTGGCACACAGGGCTGGTCTGTGCCACATTAGAGTGGCTGGGTGAGGTGCCATTATTCAGAGCAGAGGCTAAATTGTTGGTTTTGGGGTTTTTGTTTGTTTGCTTGTTTTTTCAAGACAGGGTTTCTCTGTATTGCTTTGGAGGTTGTCCTGGAACTAGCTCTTGTAGACCAGGCTGGTCTCGAACTCACAGAGATCCGCCTGCCTTTGCCTCCTGAATGCTGGGGTTAAAGGTGTGCGCCACCACTACCAGGCTGTTAGATTGTCTTTGTCTGCAGTGTAATGAATCCTGTTCCCAGCAGATGCTGGTGCCCACGTGATGCCTCCCTGCTACTCCCATGGCTGTAGAACCAATGATTTTCAGAAGTCAGGAGGTTTCCTCTCCATTGCAATATGCTTGGCCTGATTCTTACTGTAGAATATAGAAGCAAAAATCAAGAACAAATAAAGGGAAGCATCTCTCAGGGGAGGCGTCTTTTGGCTCTGGCAAGGAAGAACTGGAAGTGAATCGGAGTTTAGGGAGAAAAGTGAGATTCCAGAATGACAAAGCCAACAGAGAGTTACCATGTGGATCGCAGCTATTCTAGGTGACCTTGCAGTCATACCCTTCCCTAAAGCATCTCCTGGCTCTCCTAGTGGCACCATCACCCTCCCCAGATAACGCTAAGGGGAAGGTCTGGTGTGCTCCCACTGAAGTGCATGTCTGACCCCAGGGCAGTGGGCTTTCCTGACTCCTCTGGGGAGATGGGCCTTGAGGACATGCCTCTCGGGTTGTGTTCTAGTGACCTATGGAATGACAAGCTCCAGTGCTTATTACTACACCAAAGTGATGTCAGAGCTATTTCTACATACCCCATCAGACTCTGGGGTCTCCTTCCGGACCATCAGCAGCATGGCAGACTTCTGGGATGTGAGTATGACACTACCTTTACCCCTCCTTCTCCTTCTTACTGGTCTGAGACACAGGCCAGAGTCCAGGGAGGTCAGTTTGGAACCAGGGCAAATTAAAGGGTAAAGCTGAATTAACAGCTTGGGTTAGGTTGCAGGTGGAGGCTGAAGAAAGATGGGGGTGTTGATGGGCTGACGGGTGGGGGTTGACCAGCAAGAGTAAGACTGGCATTTGAGTCAGGAGGGAAGCTGAACCTCAAAATACAATATTTTCAACTGTATTTTGCTTAAGTTTCGAAGATCAGCTGTGGGGATCCAAAAATCGAGGCTAGAGGCCAGTCGAGGGGCAGGGAATGGGGTCAAAGTTCATGCACTGGGGTTAGAAGGAGGCTGGACTAGGCTCAACCCAGATGCTGGTACAGTTTGCTCAGGGCCCACTCCTGGACAGTTTGTACTGGACAAAGTGGTACAACAACCAGAGCCTGGGGCGTGGCTCCCACTCTTTCATCTACTATGAGAATCTGCTGCTGGGGGTCCCGAGGTTGCGGCAACTGCGGGTGCGCAACGACTCCTGTGTGGTTCATGAGGACTTCCGTGAGGACATTTTGAACTGCTATGACGTCTACTCTCCAGACAAGGAAGATCAACTCCCTTTTGGGCCTCTCAATGGCACAGCGTGAGTGAGCCCCTGCCAAAAGCGCAGGGCTACCCCTTTGAACTTGCCATCAGCCCAGGGTGTGGGAAGCACTTCCATGGAACTTAAAAAAAAAATCTTTAGGGTGGACACCTTAGGAGACTTGGAGACCTCTCCCTAAATCCCGACAATGACGCTTTGGTGTGTGTTGCTCAGCCGTGGAGGAGGCAGTAGCAGAAAAGGCATGTCTTCTGGATTTGTTCCCATCCATAGGTGACAGTTCCATCCTTCCTGAAAGGCAGAGTCCTGAAACGATATCTTGTTTGTACTCTAATAAACAAAGCTAGCCTGAAGATTAGAGGGTAGAGCTAGCCACTAGTTAACCATAGAGGTCTGGAGGTTTGTGCAGATAGACAGGAAGTGATATAGCTGGGCAGAGAGAGGAGTGATAAGGCAGGGGTGGGGGACGACGACTCAGTCTCTCTTCTGCTGGGCAGTTGAGGAGGTAAGGTGTGGCTATGGCTTGCTATTCATCTCTTTGATCTTTCATCATTTTCCCCTATATCTGACTCAAGGTTTTTTATTATTAAGACCAATTAGAACTAATGCTACAGAGTCCCTTGGAGTGTGTGGTCCATGAGTGAAGTTTATGCTGCACCCAAGTTATGGTTAGAGAGTTTGACTCCTGGGACCTGATGCAGGATGCAGCAAGGGATGGAAGATGGATGAGGAATGAAGAGAGGGAGGGAAGAGGGAAAGGAGTAAGCGGGATAGAAATGGGGTGGGGAAGGCTGAGGGTGGGCTAGAACAAGGAATCCTGGGGTTGACCAGCCAGCTATAGAGCCGCAGGAACTAGAAAAGGGTTTTTGTATTTATGGCCCAAGTGTTTCCTTCCTCTGCATTACACAGTCTGAACCCAATAGTGCTTTTCACCTAGTGAAAAAAGGAAGACCCTAACATTTGAGTTTCAGGGCTATCACTGGATACCTGACTATCTTGGAATTCCCAAACAATTGCTAGCAGCAAACAAAATGATATATATGAAGCATCTATTGTATGTGATATTATGGGCACTATATGTGACAGCACATACAAGATGTCTAATATGTTTCTCACAAAATTATGTATGTATCACATATAATATATGCACACATATACATGTATAGTGCAGTAAGTGTGTATATAGAGATACACAATGCATGTGGAATTGTAGAGCCAGGCATTCTTAATTGCATTACGGGGTGAGCATTTTGCCTGATTCTGACCTCTTTGCTCAGATGGCCTTTTTCCTTTGCCAGGTGGACATACCACTCACAGAATGAGCTGGGGGGCTCCTCCCACTGGGGCAGGCTCACAAGCTATAGTGGAGGTGGCTACTACTTGGACCTTCCAGGATCCCGACAAGCCAGTGCGGAGGTCCTCCGAGGTCTTCAGGAGGGGCTATGGCTAGACAGGGGCACTCGGGTGGTCTTCATCGACTTCTCAGTCTACAATGCCAACATCAATCTTTTCTGTATTCTGAGGTAAGCACCCTTTCCCCATTGCATCTCTCTGTCCCTGGCTCCTGGTCCATCTGATGTGCTTGAGATATTTCCCTACCTGGTAACCTATGGTGGATGTGAGGAACCAGGGGAGTAGGAGGAACTGTCCCAGCCAAGTCTCCACTGGCCATCTCACCTTCCTCACAGGCTGGTGGTAGAGTTCCCAGCCACAGGAGGGACCATCCCATCCTGGCAAATCCGCACAGTTAAGTTGATCCGATACGTGAGTAACTGGGACTTCTTCATCGTGGGCTGTGAGGTCATCTTCTGTGTCTTCATCTTCTACTATGTGGTGGAGGAAATCCTGGAAATCCACCTGCATCGGTTTCACTACCTCAGCAGCATCTGGAACATTCTGGACCTGTTGATCATCTTGGTGAGGGCTTTGGGACAGAGGGTGGAGGGTGGAGGGTGGAGGGTGGAGAGACCTCTGCTTTGATAGGGGGTCCAAGTTCTTCCTTTTGGAGGCCCAAGCCCTCCTTTTGACTTAGTAGAAGCGTTGTGCCAAGTTTCCCCAAGAGAAAGGTTGATGCCCGCTGGCTTAGACCTTGGGAAGACTTGCCCCTCCTCCTCACCTGTGAGCAGGCCCTCCTTTTTCCTTCATGCAAATCTACTAATAATCTCTTCTGCCTTTTGTTTCATGATGTGACCTTTTGACCTTCCTATTTGAATACTCTGTCCCTTCATTGTCATCTCCTTCCTACTAAGAAGACACGTTTGTTTTGTTGTTTTATTTTTACATTTATTTGTGTGGATGCGTGTGTGTGTGTGTGTGTGTGTGTGTGTGTGTGTGTGTGTGTGTGTGTGGCACAGAGGTCTTCCACGGATATTAATCCTCTGAGGTCATTCATTGTGGGTTTTTGTTGTTGTTGTTTACAGAGTGCTTGGGGAGGTCAGAGGACAGTTTCCTAGAGTTGGTTCTCTCCTTCCACCACGCAGGCCCTAGAGATCAAACAAACTCAGGTGGCCAGGCTTGGCACAAAGTACCTTTTCCTACTGAGTCATCTCACTGGCTCTCACATTTATTTCTTTTGACCAAGGCTTGGGGGTGATAGGAATGGGGAGACATCATGCTCCTGAGTACCACTTCTCTATAGTTCTTCACAACCTTCCTATTTCCTCTCAAACCTTCTATTGGGCTGTAGGCCATTTAAGCTGTTCCCTGGCCACCCACCCTGCTCCATCTGGACCTCAGCTAGTGAACATCTCCGCTGAGAATGTTTCTTGCCCTGGCTGTCCTCTGGGAGCCCATCTTTGAACTTCCGTTGAGATTCCCTTGAATTCTCTGACACTCCCCATGATTCCTATGTGGCAGCTCTCCATTGTGGCTGTGGGATTCCACATATTCCGAACCCTGGAAGTAAACCGACTGATGGGAAAGCTCCTGCAGCAGCCAGACACTTATGCAGACTTTGAGTTCCTGGCCTTCTGGCAGACGCAGTACAACAATATGAATGCTGTCAACGTTTTCTTTGCCTGGATCAAGGTACCTGGGAATTGCCTCTCACCTCTGCCCCAATGCTCTCACTTACCTTCCTCCACACGGGTCTTGTTTTCCTTGTCTGATTTGGTTCCTCCTGGAGCCTCTATCAATCCCGGAGCAGAGTGTTCTGTGTTTTTCACTGTTTCTCTTTCCCTTGTTTCACCACGGCCCTTGCAGATATTCAAGTACATCAGCTTCAACAAAACCATGACCCAGCTCTCCTCCACACTGGCTCGCTGTGCCAAGGACATCCTGGGCTTTGCTGTCATGTTCTTCATTGTCTTCTTCGCTTATGCCCAGCTTGGCTACCTGATTTTTGGGACCCAAGTGGAGAACTTTAGCACTTTCGTCAAGTGCATGTGTGTGCCCTGCCCCCACCCCTGGGCCCCTCACTCTCCAGCTCCCAGGGTGTGTGCAACCTTGGGGAAGAGGGGCATATGTATGGGTGTGTCAATGCTTAAAGTATCTGAGTGTCTCCTAAAGTTCAGGTTTGTGCTCAAGTGATTTACTGGCCATTTGTTTCTATTATATTGCCTTTATTGCATTAGGTGCAGTGAGGAGTCTGTTTGTGATTAAGAAAGTGAGATGGGGTATGAATTGGGGCAAATGTTTGACTAGGCTCTGGGTGAAACCCAGATCTGGTCTCTCAGTTTCACTCAGTTCCGGATAATCCTTGGCGACTTTGACTACAATGCTATCGACAATGCCAACCGAATCCTGGGCCCTGTGTACTTCGTCACCTATGTCTTCTTTGTCTTCTTCGTGCTCCTGGTGAGGGTCCTTCTGAGGGCTGGTGACTTAGAGGCCTTCAAGCTGGGGGTTTGACCCCACATGCCTCTCACTTAGGATTATAACTGTTTCTCAAAGCATGGGGGAAGTAGGGTTCTTCTGAGTTTCCTGAGAGCCAGTTAATTTAGCAATGATACCAGATGGCCAGGTAGTGTGGGGAACATAAAGGAAATTGCACGCTATTCCAGGAAAACCAACTCCTCATCTTCCAAGGAGAGCATGGGAATGGGGAAATACCTCATGAGAAGAAGGAGAGACCTCTGGAAGCCTCTGTGCCTATTCTCCCAAAGGCCCCTTCCTCGGGGACATTCATGATGGTTTCTACTGCCAGTGTTTGCTGGTAGTTCTCTCTTCTTGCCAACTGGGAAATATCTGAGATTTATTTTATGTGTTTTACTTGCATGTATGCATATGCTCTGTGTGTGTACCTGGTGTTGCAGAGGTTATAAAAAAGGGGGGAGTTGGATCCCCCAGATCTGGAGTTACAAATGGTTGTGAGCTATGGTGTGGGTGCTGGGAACTGAACTTTGGTCACCTGCAAGAGCAATGATGCTCGATCCTAGTCTTAATAATTAAGAACCCAGAGTCAGATATCATGGCAAAATCTGCAAGATCAGAGAAGTAAGGAAGCAGCCACAGTCACCTCTTACCTCTCCAGCTCCTCAGACCCAAAAGGGCTGAGATCCTGTCTACGCCCTATCTTATCACTTCCTGTCTCCCGTCTGTACAGACCTCCAGACCTCTATGGTTAACTAGTGGCTAGCTCCACCCTCTGATCTTCAGGCAAGTTGTATTTATCAAAACAAACAAAATACCACAACAGAGCAACAAGTGCTCTTAAGTGCCAAGCCATCTCTCCAAAAGCCCCTGAGTGTGATTTTTATTAATATAAACAGAAAGTATCCTTTTTTAACTGATGGAGACACAGGCATGGAATTGGGGTCAATGGTAAAGAAGAGAGCACATTTGTACATTGAAAAAAAGACGACTTCAGTAACTGGTGGGCCTTTGTGTGTGTGTGTGTGTGTGGGTCCGTGGCATATGCTGGTATATCTTGGTGTTTAGAAAGGTCGCTGGAGCATTTGTGAATGAGGAGCCTCAGGATGATAAGGGCACATGGTCTGCCCTTAAACAGAAATGTGCCAAAAGGAGGACTTTCAGGCTCTTGAGAGGCAGGCATGTGTGGACTGCAGAGCACTGGTCTTTTTAGAACGTACGTGTAGGGTGTAAGTTAGGAAGGCTCAGTGTTTTTAGTGGGGTTGAAGGTGAAAACCTGGGTCACAAGCTGGGCATGGTGGTACACACCCTTAATCCCAACAGGGGAGGCTGAGTCAGGCAGATCTCTGTGAGTTTGAAGCCACATTGGTCTACACAGCAAGTTCTAGGATTGCCAGGGCTACATAGAATGATCCTGCTTCAAAAAAAACTCATGTCCCTACTTTTTCCTTTAGAACATGTTCCTGGCCATCATCAATGACACATACTCAGAGGTCAAGGAGGAGCTGGCTAACCAGAAGGATGAGTTACAGCTCTCTGACCTCCTGAAACAGGTGACTCCTTGGTGTTTTTGAGCAGCGTGTCTCTCTGGGTTTGGGTCCGGGGCACTGTGCCATGGTATCTGTTCTTGACTGGTGCAGGCAGGCATCTGTGCTCTTGAGTGCCTCTGACTTGTTCCTGGGGGCTTGAGATTGTTAGGTGGAGGTGGGGGGCAATGGTGGTGGGGACCCTGTGGGGACTTCTTCTGATTCCCTTTCCCTTTCAGAGCTACAAGAAGACCCTACTAAAGCTGCGCCTGAGAAAGGAACGGGTTTCAGATGTGCAGAAAGTCCTGAAGGGTGGGGAACCGGAGATCCAGTTTGAAGATTTCACCAACACCTTGAGGGAGTGAGCATCTGGAGATCCAACCTTCTTTGAAATTGTTCTAATCTGTGGCCCTCAACTATACATCCTTTGTTAATAAGCCTTGGTCTATGGGCCTGTGGTCTTGATTTATGGGCTTCTGACCTTGACTCATGGGTCTCTAATCCTGACCTTCAGACCTGGCTTTACAGATCTCTGACCATATTCTATACATATTCTGTACCTTATTGAACAACTCTTATACCTTATGTAACAGTATAATTATCCTAATATTATATATGCCCCATCCAAAATATTGGGCAAATATATTGTGAAGACCATCAGTGGATCAGACTTGAGTAGAGGATGACAAAATTAAATGAGACAAAAATCTTTGTTTCCTAGGAGCTCAAAGTTGTGTAAACAAATAAGCCAAGACAGACTAAGTTTAAGAACAGCAGTGACCTTAAAGAGAGGGAGGCATGGGATAAAAAGAGTTATCAATCCTTTTTGAGATAGAGGAAGGTTTCCATAAAGAGGTGATGACTGAAAGGGTTTTAAAGGATGCCTGGCTTACACATGAACAAGCAGAGGAAGACTGGTGTGATAGCTGAGCATTGCTAAGATACCAAATGGAAGGTGAGTTATAGGAAGAATCGAGGTCATGGCCAAGGGCCATCCATGTTGGGAAAGACCTTGAATATCACCATTGTATCCATGGAATAGGGTGCTTAGGGGGGACTTTAATGCAAGGAACTGGTGCTCTTAGATGTGCATTTTCTATTACATTTTATTATTTTTGAGTTTGGTTTCACTTTAGTACCCAGGTTCATCTTGAACTTGATTTGATCCTCCTCTAGCCTCAGCCTCCCAAGTACCTAAGTTTTTTTTTTTTTAGTACCTAAGATTTATAGACATATTCCACCATGCTCAGGTATTAAACATGAACTTTAAAATATTAATTTTTCTAATTTTTCTCTTTATAGAGGATGGGTTTCAGGGTTAGAGAGTGGAAGAGAAGCCAGAGTTGTGATAGTGGCAGCAGGTTACCTAAGGCAAAGAAAAGTCATAATCTCTATGAGATCCTGAGGGCCTAACCTAGCCAGCAAGAGTCAGGATAGGAAGAAGAAATGAAAGAATGTGTTGTGGGTAGAATCACTAGACCCTGAAGATTCTAGCTTTCCTGTGTGATCCTCTTCTTCCCCAGAAAGCAAGACCCAAAAATCAAGATTCTTACCAAAGAGTCTACTAAAAGGGCGGGGAGACCATATCTGAGTGATTACCGTAACTTCTTCACCATTTTTTCCTTAGACTGGGGCATGCAGAGAATGAGATATCTGAGCTCAAGGCTGCCTTCACCAGGTTTGATCAGGATGGGAATCGCGTTCTGGATGAGAAGGAGCAGGCACAGATGCGACAAGGTCTGGAAGAGGAGAGGGTAAGCAGGACTGGTTGGCGGGGAGGAAGGGTAAGTACATCATCACTTGTGCTCCTTCCCAGCATGCCCAAACTAAACCCAAGTGAAGGTCTTCCCAAACATGAACGCGAAACAACTCTCAAGAACAGCGGTTCTCAAACATCTGCATATTAAATATTCCAGAGAGCCTTTAAACACCCTCAAACTCTCTAAAATTTCCAAGGCAATTCCAGCACACAGCCAAGCTTCAGAACCATTGCTTTGCAGAAGGGACCAGTCCCCAAGATAATCTCTGATGATCCTCTAGAAGTGCTTGTTCTCTTGGAATTTTGAAATTGACCCTACTATGCCTGCTCCATCCCTATTCCGTGTAGGTCAAAAAATTCAAAGGCAGGGCTATCAGAGAGGGAGGGACAGCCACAAGAAAGGGAGCCCAAGGCTAGGATTGTGAGCCTATTTACAGCAGAAGATGGATTAGGAGCTTCTCAAACTCGGGGCTGGAAAGATGGCTCAGCAGTTAAGAGCACTGGCTGCTCTTCCTGAGGTCCTGGGGTCAATTCCCAGCACCCACAACCATCTGTAACTCTAGTTCCTGGAGATCTGATACCTTCACACCAATGCACATAAAATAAATTAAAATAAAAAATATATAAAGCTTGTCTTATCCCCCCTAACATCCATCTTCCCAATCAGGTGGCCCTCAGTGCTGAGATTGAGAACCTAGGCCAGTCCTTTGGATATAGCCCACGAGGTGAATTGGGCACGGAAGCTGCCAAAGGAGGAGGCTGGGTTTCTGGAGAAGAATTCTACACGTATGTGGAGGCAGAGGGCACAGGGATGGCTGGCTGTGATATCTTCTCTTGAGAATCTTTTCATACCTTCCCAATTCCATTTGCTAATCCCGTTTCTGTTCCCCTGTGATTCTCCCTACACAGTTGGGCCTCATCTTCCTCCTTCCCACCCAGACAAGCACCAATGTGTCATCTCTAATACGATACCCCTGCACACACCCTTTGTCTCTCTCAGGCTCACAAGGAGAGTTCTGCAGCTGGAGCATGTTCTGGAAGGAGTTGTGTCCAAGGTTGATGCTATGGGCTCAAAGCTGAAGATGCCGGAGAGCAAAGAGGACCTGGCTCCCTCCCCAGGAATGGTGAGTACCCTTCCAAGGGCTGGGTCCTCTGAGTTCTTTACAGATGGAATCCATCTGATTTCCCAGTTAGAGAAGACATTCTGAAAAGATCTAGGGAGCAATGCTCACAGTGGTCATAGATCAGTAGAGGTGGAGGGCAGACCCGGAAGTTGCTTAAGTCAGCCTATACAGTTCCATGACCTTTTAGGGGAGCCTTTGTTTTAGTCTCTTTGAGTTGTTATAACAAACTATCAAAGATCAGACTGCATATAGACAACAGAAATACACTTTTTACAGTTTGGGAGGATGAGGAGAGTATGAGACCAGTGTACTAGCAGGTTCAGGACCTGGTGAAAGCCTCCTTCTTACTTCACAGACAATTCAGTTCTTAATATGTTCTCATATGGCAGCAGGAAAAAAGGGCACTAACCCCCTTCATAAAGGCTCCACACTCATGATCTCATCACCCACAAAGGCTTCATTTCCTAGTACTGTCACATTGGGGATTAGTATGCCAGCATAAGACTTTGGGGGAGACACAAACATTAGTCCATAGCGATCTAGGTTCTCTGTAGTTAGATTCAAAAAAAAAAAAAATTACTCCTTCAAATGAGCTATTCCTTTTTCTTCCAACAGGAGGAGCTAGCTGTTTGGAAGAACCTGTAACCAGTCCTAGTTATCACTCCAGCCCCCTTGGGCGTCCAGGGTAGGCAGGAGAATGAAAGGGGGATCCTAAAACATCAGACAGCAAGTTCCTCTTTTTATGCCTTCCCAGAAGCCTCTTCTCTGTATGCACTCCCGCCCCTTCTAGAGCTGCATGTCTCATGATAGCTGCTGTATCGTCCCACCTGTGTCTGGCATTTTGAGCCAATGTTTCTGTGTGTGGGTGATTGGGTAGCATGTTCAGACATTTCCCTTGGTGTTTCTCTATGTAGTCACACACCTCTGTAAAGTAGCATTTCCTACCTGGCTTCTCACTCCCTGTGCATTTACTTCTGCTGTAGTGATTAACATCAGTAGCAAACAAGAAAAAGGAAGAGAACACAACGACTCTCCTAAAGAACTCAGCCATGATTGTTCAAAAGATAGAAGCCCAAAGAGTAGGCAATAGATATGTCTTCTTACTTCTCAGTAAATCTTACTCTTGAGATGGGGGATGTCCTTCTGTATGCTGTAAATATGTTTCTCTTATTGGTTGATAAATAAAGCTGTTTCGGCCAGTGGACAGGCAGGATTTAGCCAGGTGGGAAACACAAACAGGGATAGAGAATGGTAGTAGGTGGAGTCAGAGAGGCACCATATAGCTGCCGAGGAAGTAAGAGACCTGGGCATCACTGGTAAGCCAAGACTATGTGGAAATACACAGATGAATAGAAATGGGTTAATAATTAAGAGAGTGCTGGTTAATAAGAAGCCTGAACCATGGGCCAAACAGATTATAATCAATATAATAATTGAGGTCTTCTCTTCCCCCATGGAGACAAAAGAAAGCCCCCGAGGAAAGTAGATTCTTGTTTGGTGAGATTCCAACTGAGGAGTTGAATGACACCCTTGAAGGTGAAGTCAATGCTCCTTCTGGAGGAGCCCATCCTCCAATTCCCAAGTTCCATGGAATACCTGGAACTGAGGGGACTTCATACCTGGAAACAGAAACAGAACCCAAAGGGAATCAAGGAAGGAAGTGATATCAGGATTCATTGATCTTTGGACTAATCTTATGTGGTGGTCTCAGGCTCTTCATCATAGGACAACATGGGGTTCCAAGGTGACTATCAATAAAACTCTTTAGAAAACCAGGTCTTTGTGTTTGCTTCTGGGGTTAGAGAGAAGACAGAAGGCTATAAATGTAAGATACTCATGCTCACTTGCACTCTCTGGAAGGTACTGGAGTGGGAGCCATGCCAAAGTCAAGGAGCTTGGCTGTCCCAGGAGTCTTGAAGTAAGAAGCCCTGGCTCAGGGGATCATGATAGGGGAACCAACAGAGACAGCTGACCTGAGTTTGTGGGAGCTAATGGACTCTGAACCAACAGATAGGGAGCCTCTGCTCGACCTAGGCCCTCTGCATGTGTGTGACAGTTAATGTAGATGTCTCTTTGTAGGGCGCCTAGCAGGACCTGTCCTTGGTGCTTAGCTGGCTTTTGGGTACCTGTTCCCTAGGCAGGATTACCTTGCCTAGCCCTTGATGCTAGAGGAAGAGCTCGATCCTGCCTCAACTTGATGTGCCATGCTTTGCTCAAGCCCATGGGAGGCCCGCCCCTTTTCTGAGTGGAGATGGAGGAGGAATGAAAGGGTAGAGGGATAGATGGGAAGGGGCAGATGCCAGAGGGAGGGGAAACTGTGGTCGGTATGTAAAATAAATGAAAGAAAAAGTTTAAGTAAAAGAGAAGCCCTGGCTCATAGGAATATTTGAAATGGAAAATACTATGGTTACTATAGATGAAGCACCCAGGGAGAATGGGTTCTCAAATAGTCAGGTTAGGAAGGCTTGGGGGTAGGGGCATCTGTGGTGTGTGTGTGTGTGTGTGTGTGTGTGTGTGTGTGTGTGTGTGTGTGTGTGTGTGCACAAGTACAGGTGGGTGGAGGATAACCAAGAATAACAAGAAACTCTTACACCAAGATGTTGGATGCTCAGGAGCTTGTATCCTGAAAATTCTTCCATACCTCTTCATCCTCTCCCATGACCCCACCCCCTGCACTCCACACCTTCGTTGCTCCCCAGTGCACCTTCTCATTCAATGCCTTCACTCACACTTGCTCTCACATCCTGTTAAGTACTCTATAAACCCTAGAGACTTGTGCAACAACTAAATGCAATCAAGGTAACCAGTGCGTCAACCATGATGGACGCTTCAAGCAAGGTGTTTTCAATTAAACAGCATTAGGGGCTAGCTTGGAGTTTAAGAAGCTCGACTCAGAGAGTTGTTACGATATTAATCCAAGGCTTGCGGGAAGGGGAAGGGAGAGAATATTTAGGATCAAGAATCCAGGCTGAAAGCTTGTGGGAGACAATTTCCAAAAACATGGATTCCCTGCCGCCATTCTTCAGTGAGTAAAACTTGTCAGGGTGCTAGTGTCTGGGAAGAGGCACCTGTCTCCAATAACTTCAGCTGACAAGTTATGGGGCCACTGTGGGGCCACCACCCACGACAGGCTGTGGCTGGTACAAGCCAAGAGACAGTTCTAGGGTATGGCTGCAGAAATGAACGCATCTTCAACACCAGACACGGTGATTCTCAGCAGCGGGGTGATTCACAATAGCCTGCCAGAGCTTCAGTTTCGCTTTCGCGCTTGCACTTTGATAAAAGGCAATTATCGGAGGCGTGACTCGGTCAAGAAGAGCAAAGCGAGGAGGGTGCGAGC